CACCATTTGTTGAAGATGTTCTCTTTGTTCCAGCGTATAAATTTGGATTGTTTTTCAAAAATCAGGGGTTCGAAGGTGTGTGGGTTAATATCAGAGTTTTCAACTCTATTCTATTGGTCTACCTGTCTATTTTTGTGCCAATACCAAGCTGTTTTCAGGACTATAGCTCTGTAATAGAGCTTGAAGTCAGGCATGGTGATGCCTTTATTGTACAGGGTTGTTTTGGCTATCCTGGGTCTTTTGTTTATCCATATAACGTTGAGAATTCTTCTTTCAAGGTCTGTGAAGAATTGTGTTAGGATTTTGATGGGGATTGCATTGAATCTGTAGATTGCTTTTGGCAAGATTGCCATTTTTACTATGTTGATCCTATCTATCCAAGAGCATGGAAGATCTTTCCATTTTCTGGTATCTTCTTTGATTTCTTTCTTTAGAGAGTCAAAATTCTTAGGGTATAGGTCTTTCATGTTTTTGGTTAGTGTTAGCCCAAGATATTTTATATTGTCCACATCCTATATTAAAGAGTCCTTCATTCTTAATAGATGACTTTAATTCACATTTCACACACACACACACACACACACACACACACACACACACACATGCAAACACACACCCAAGAGGTGATCTGGCAAAACTTTACAACTCCTACAATAAAAAAATTAACTTCATATTAATCATCCTTATTTCATAAAAATGATATCCTTTTTTAAGACTAATTTTCCAGGAGTGCTCCGATCCCATGCCCGGCAGTTTCCTCAGTGGCATAGTTTTAGTGACTACTACTTACCTTCCTCATGATCAATAAACAATAAATCACCACCCTCCCATCATCTTGGGTGTACATCTCAACCTATTACACTCTGACTTCCGGTGTCACAATATTAATGAAATAATTATATCCACAGCCATCAATTATTACTACTCTAGTTTTCCTACTACTAGTTGTTCCTAGCACATTTTAAACTCCCTCCCTCCCTCTTAATTCACTGAGCTCTTTAAAATGTTTGTACCATTACTCTGTTTTATTTCATTCTTCTGGCTGCTCATTAACCCTGATGAAATATGTGAAGGTGAGTCCATAGAGGATGTTACCTCTATCTCAGCATTAAGTCTTCTAGTGCTTGTCTCTCTTCTCAGCCCGGACTTGCCTCCCCAGCACTGTCCTCTGAACATGTGTCTTCAGTCAACATCCAAGCATTATAACTGTGTAACTCCAATGTAGCTCATTCCCCCGTTCTATACTTACCTGTCTACTGGGCATCTCCATTGTGTTACCCTGGTTCCTGGGCATTCCTGTTCACCTTACCATACTGGCAATTTCTCTCTCCTCCTGCTTTCTACATCTCAGTCAGTATATTGCCATCATCCAGTTTTCTAAGTGACACCCTCCTCTTCTGAAACCCTGATTATGTATCAACAAATGAAAATGTATCCATTCTATGCCTAAAGATTCTCCCAGGTCTACTCACTCCATCCTTATACTACTGCTTTAATTCAGATCCTCCTTGTCTCTGTCCTTTGAATTCCTTCATTGACAGTAGTCAGTTATAGTCAGAGGTTTCTCATCCCACCTGCCAGTTCCCAAATAACCACTTTAAGGCTTAACAGTAATTATAATTGTTTGGCCAATAGCTCAGACATATTACTGACTAGCTCTCATAATTAAATTCACCCATTTCTGTTATTCTGTATTTTACCATGAGGCTTGTGACTTGTTACCTCACATCTTGCTTCCCCAGTGACTACATGGCATCTTCCTGACTCTTCTTTCTCTCCATATCTTTGTTTGAATTTCCTACCTAGCTATATTCTTCCTGGCCATTGGCCAAAACAGCTTTATTCATCAGCCAATAAAAGCAACACATATTTGCAGCATACAGAACATCCCACATTAGTTGTTCATTCTCTGTCCCACCTGCCAGCTCCTAAATAACTACACAGAGACTTCCTATTAATTATGAAAGCTTAGCCAATAGCTTAGGGTTGTTTCTAACTGGCTCTTAAAATAACCAATTGCTATTAATCTATGGGCTGCCAGGTGGCTTGTGGCTATTACCTCTCCTCCTGAATGTCTTGTTTGTTCTCTGTCTCTCAGCATTTCTGCCCTCTTCTTTCCAGCATTCTCTCTGTCCCAAAAATCTTGCCTAGCTATTGACAGTTTAGCTTTTTATTAGGCCAATCACAGAAATCTTAAACTGTTGTCAAACTTTTCATGACTTCATATTACATAATCTGCAGTATGAAATACTTTAATCTAGATCACTGCTATACTTAGTATAGTTCTCATCCAAGACCCTGCTGAATTTTGTGCTCATTGGGAAGCTTCCCTCGTCCATTATCCTTTGTTCCCATTGTAAGTTTCCCTAGAAGTACATATCTGTAACCTGAGTGAGTGTCCTAACTTTTCCTGTAAGAATACATTTTTGAGGCAGGGGAAATGGCTCAGTAGGTAAAGCACTTAGTCAGCATGAAGAGTTGAGTTCAGATCTTCAACACCCATGCAAAAAGCCAAATGTGGCAGCACCAGCAACTTCTGCACATGGGTTAGGGGGTTATGAGAGGGTGACAGAGACGAGCAGGTCCCCAGAGTGCTCTGCTTAGCCAGTCTGCCTAAATCAGTGAGCTTCATGTTCAGTGAAAAACCTTGTCTCAAAATAAGATGGGGAACAGTAGAAGATACCAGAAATCTACATGGCCTCCACATAGGCATACATGTGTGAGTGCACTGCACACATTCATTCACATACATGTGCATACATACATATATACAAATGAAACAAAATTTCATTGATGCTTTAGTTTGTCTCTAATCTTGACCCAGCATAATGAAATTAAGGATTATGTTTCCCATATTTAATTGCCAACTAACCAAAGTGCTAGCTACTTAGTAAGTATTGAGTGTTTGTTCAGTAGCCTAATAGTGGCTTCTAGAGATACTGTGTACAAGTTCATTTGTCAGCATTGACAAATGAACTTGGCAAATTGTAGTCATTATCTTTCAGCTCCAACTGAATTTAATGAGCATTTTTGTATTTGGTTTACTTTCTTTTTGGTAATAGTTCTATCTTAAAAACAACACGTCATTGGAGAATTTTTCAGACATAAAAGTAGGGTACAGAATAATGAACTCACTGCCCCCACCCCACCCCTCCGCACCCTCCCTTCCTAGCTTCCTGCTTTTTTGTTTTGTCTGTATTTCCACCATGTTTTTCCTGGAGTATTTTAAAGCAGATTGTACAAATTATAATTTTGCCTGTAAACAATCTAGTGTATATCTCTAACTGGATAATCACCTTAAGAAACAATGGAACAGTGTGGTATTTTTTGTTTTTTGTTTTTTTTTTTTACTTAATTTCAAATGTGGTTTACTTTTCTTTATGCTGTTAAATAACAATTTACATATTATATAAATGAGCCTGGCACTTTCTTTAAGATGCAAGACTAATAGGCAGCTTTCCTTCCGGATCTTTATCCACTCTCTTCCTAAGTATGGTGATTTCATCTTAGTTGTGGTAAATTCTATGTAATATAAAATTTACTCTCAATTATTTTTAAGGGTATAGGTCAGTAGAGCTAAGTTATTTGGCATTATTCTACAAACAATCTTCAAAACTCTTTTTATCCTGAAAGACTGTTTTTCCTTCTCTCAGCCCCTGGAAACTATTCTACTTATTGTACCCAGGCATTCCTTATAAGTGGAGATAAATATTTAGAAGACAGATATAGTATTTGTCTTTTTTGACTACCTTATTTTACTTAGCATATGACTATGACTTCAAGATTTATGTCACTATTTTATCATATCAATAAATGACCTTTTTTGTTTGTTTTTTCGAGACAGGGTTTCTCTGTATTGCTTTGGAGGTTGTCCTGGAACTCACTTTGTAAACCAGGCTGGCTTCAAACTCACAGAGATCCGCTTGCCTCTGCCTCCTGAGTTCTGGGATTAAAGGCATGAGCCACCAATCCCCAGCCAATAAATGACTTTTTTTATTTATTATCTATCCATGGACTCTTAGATTGTTTCCACTTTGTGAATAATGCTGCTATGAACATGAGGTACAAATTTGTCTTTTATGCCATGCTGCCAATTCTTTTGGGATTTGTGGAATCCACTTGGAAACATGATAAATCTGTTTCTAACTTTTTGAGGAAACACACTCTACTGTTCTCCACATTAACTGTACAATTTTACACTCTCAATCAACAGTGCACAGGGATTCCAAATTCTCTAAATACTTGACAATACTTGTTATTTTCTCTGGTTTGGGAGAGATGTATTTTTTAATAACAGGTTAAAAGCTATAGGGTGTGATAAACATTTTAAAAATGCTATTATGCTGGGCAATGTTGATACTTGCCTTTAATCCCAGCACTTGGGAGGCAGAGGCAGGTGGATCTCTGTGAGTTTGAGGCCAGCCTGGTCTACAGAGTGAGTTCCAAGACTGTTATACAGAGAAACCCTGTCTAGAAAAAAAAAGATATATATATATATATATAGATAGATAGATAGATAGATAGATAGATAGATAGATATTGCACTCGAATCACAATTAACACTTCTTCCCTATCTAATGTTAAGAATGGGTTTCAAACATGCTCTTTCTGCAGTATCCCCTAACTCCTTCCCTTTCCTTGGATCAGAAGTATTGCAAACACCATCAATTCTTGTCTTATTCTCTTACCCCTATCTAGTTCTTTAGAGAGCCCCAGACACACCGAGGACCTCCTCCCCATTTCTCACCCTTCTAACCACCTCCACGAACACAGTGCCAGCCACCGTCCTCCTGAACGGCTTCAGTAGTCTTCCAGGAGATCGATCTCCTTGCTTATCTACCTTTGCCCAGTTCACACCATCCTCAACTCAGCAACCAGCATGATCTTATTAAAACAAATCCCGGACTGTGGCACATCTGTCATTAACACTCATGGTTCCTACAATGGCCTATGACAGTGGTTCTCCACCTGTGGGGTCACAACTATCCTTTCACAGGGGACACATATCCGTTTCCCTGCATCGCAGATGTCTACATCATGATTCATAACAGTAGCAAAACTACAGTTAAAAGGGAGCAATGAAATAATTTTTGGTTGGGGTCACCACAACATGAGCAAAACAGTATTAGAGGGGTCATAGCATTAGGAATGTTGAGAACCACTGATCTGTGAGGTCCTATATTGCTGAATGCAAGCTGCTACCTTTCATTCATTTGCTTTCTTGGTGTCCTCAACATACTGCCATATTCCTGTCTTAGTAAGAGCCTTGGCCCTCAACACTTCCTTGTCCAAATTGTTCTTTCCCATGTATCTGTTTGGCTTAATCCATGTCTCCTATGATATGTCAGAATCATAGATAGGCCTTCTCTAATACTTTTTGAATACGTAAGTCAACCATCTTCCCCCCAGATTTCTCCATTTCCCTCCCTAGCCTTATTTTACCCTGTAAACTTTATTGCCTAACATACTATTATTTTACTTATTTTTTTAACCATTGTCATTAAACCATAAACTGTAAAGAGCAAAGACTTACAGATAAAACCCCTGGTGTGGAATTTGGCTTAATACAAAATTGTCAATGAATATATTCATATGTCTAGATATATATGCATATAAATTTGTGGTTGCTTCCTAGAGCCACATCATGAATCGAAAAGCAAAACAAAAAGATGCAAGAGGACTGGCACCAATTGGACAGATGATGAAAAAAGAATCTACAGGGATAAAAGAATAGCTCAAACTCAGGAAATATTACAATATTTACTTCCCATCGTGGAATCCTCTAAAAACATGAAAGCTAATCAAATGAAAGACCTCTTCAATCCAGGAGTTGACTTCCAGCAGCATCAGTAAGTCAGTGGCATTCCTCATACTTACCTATGTGTTGCTGGGGAGCAAACCCAGAACTTTATTTTTTCTTCTTCATTTTTTTATTTGAATTAGAAACAAGATTGATTTACATGACAATCCCAGTTCCCTTCTCCCTCCTGTCCTCCCCACCACCCCCCAACTATAACCCTACCTCTCACATCTCCTTTCTTCTAATCTTCACCTGACTCAACCTTTCTGCTCCCTCATGACCTCTGCATCCTTGCTCTTCTTCCCTTCTCATTCTCATTGCTCCCTCCCCCCTCTTCCCATGCTCTCAATTTGCTCAGGGGATCTTGACCCTTTCAGAACTTAATTATGCTATGCAAATGTTCTAACTCCAAGCTACCCCTATTTAATACAGTTTTATAAGGAAACACAGCTTGTTAGTTCATTATCTTTAGAAACAAACATAAACTTTTAAAAACATCATACACTACATCACAAAACCCAAGGTCATAATTATATACCAGGTATGTAAAGGATTAAGTTATAAGGCATTATTTGACCTATTACTTGTATAACATATTTTAGTTTGTATCTGCAAAGTAAGTATGCATAAATAAGATGTAACTAGAGCATGACTTAACAATTTTCAGATATTTTAAAACTTTATACTCCTGAGTGAAGGGAGCAGGATTAAAATAATTAATCCTGGCTACTTCAACTGTTTGGTACTCAGTGGAAAGCAATAATAAGATTATTTCTTTTAAAGATGAAAAACAGACATATCTCCAAGGCATAAGGAAACTTTGTGCCTTATACATAAATACATAAATAAAAGTAAAGATAATAAAATCTAAAAATAGCAAATATAATAGTATAATTGACAACATTTTGTAAACTACTTCCCATATGCTAGATATTTTTCTAAGTTATATACTTATGACCAGCAGGGCCCCTTATTTACAATTTCTGCATCCCTGGATATAACTAATCTCAGCTCTGAATATATTTGTAGCCTATTCTTGGTTGACTATGCAGATACAGAGATCCCCAGTACAGAGGACAGACTGAGCACCTTACATATTACATATAGGAAAGACATGCAAGCTGGATGGTGGTGGCCCATGCCTTTAATCCCAGCACTCAGGAGGCAGAGCCAGGTGGACTCTGTGAGACTAAGGCCAGCCTGGTCTACAGAGTGAGTTTCAAGACAGCCAAGGCTATACAGAGAAACCCTGTCTCAAAAAAAAAAAAGAAAGAAAGAAAGAAAGAAAAAAGAAAAGATACAAAGACATTAAACAGCTTTTGCAAAGCCACATAATAGTTAGGACAATTTGGATTCAAACTCTGTTAAGAACTTTGATTTCAAAGTCCTAACTACATGTCTACAAATTAACTGGAAAATTGTGGAAATTTTAATGGGAAAATAGGCAAAGATTATAACTAAGCAATTCACAAAAGAAATACCATGGACAGCAAACATTTTGAAATGTTCAATCTTGCTAATTTAAAAATTACAGATTGAAGAAGCAGTGATAAAACACCATTCAATTATTTTTGCTGTTCAGTAGGAGAATCTATTCCCTGATTGCGGGACACAAGTTGGTACTTTCTGGAAGGCATTTCAACAATAGCAATGAAAACTCGTGGTGTCACATTACTCTTTCTCTTTTCATCATTCACTCTGTCGGTAGTGTTTGGGGTTGATCCCAGGGCCTCTCATTGGCTCCTAAGACACCATCAAGCCACCCATCTTGACTACAGAAAATTCCACTTTGGGAAGTTAATTTTAAGGAAAAAACTAAATAAGAATTGTAAGACATTTGTAATGTTCATTTCAGTATTGTTTATAGGAGTTGAAAATTAAAGAATGTAAATGTTCAAGAATAAAAATTAAATTATGAAATATTATGTAGTACTTCAATATTGCAAGTGAAAATTAATAGGAAATGATGTTCACAATATATGTGTGTAACATGGGCTATATATTTGGTGTGATTATGTTTACATATATGTATGCATTATACACATTCGAATACAATGTAGAAGAAAAACTCTAGAAGCACATGTCCTCAAGAGTGATTATTTCTGGATGGGTATTAGTGAAGAATAATGTTCCTCTTCATAAAGTTTATTCCTGTACTGTATAACCATCAAAATCAATATGATTTTTAAAATGGTGGTTATTTCTAGTGAACACTGTAGCAGTCATGATGGGAAAGACCCTACATGACAGGAATTGAGTTTCATAATTAGACAGCTAAAATTGCTGTGTGGTTAGCTAGCCTCTGGTATCCTCCTCTCCTCCTGCTTGCTCCTTTTTCTTCCCAGATTTCTCCTTCTATTTATTCTCTCTGCCTGCCAGATCGGCCTATCCTCTCTCCTGCCTCACCATTGACTGTTGAGCTCTTTATTAGACCATCAGGTGTTTCAGACAGGCAAAGAAACACAGCTTCTCAGAGTTAAACAAAAGCAGCATAAACAAAAGCACCACATCTTTACGTCATTAAACAAATGCTCTACAGCATAAACAAATGTAACACACCTTAAAATAATTTTCCACAACACTTCTGGTCTCCACAGGCAGGCACATTTCCACACAGCCATACATATATACATGTAATTTTTGAAGCCTTTTTATTCTAAATTAAGGTTGGAGAGATTGCTCACCTGTTTAGAGTGCTTGCCGCTCTTACAGAGAAGCCACATAAACTTCCCAGCACCCGTGGTGGCCACAGCTGCCTGTAACTCCAGTTCCAGGAATCTAACACCCTCTTCAGGCCTTTTGGGCACTTGCACACACGTGGTGGGCATGTATATGGTAGCAAACATAAACAAATATAAAACCATTTTGAAATTACAGATCAGGAAAACTAATTATAAAATGCAATAGATATCAGCCAAGAGCCTGAGAAATTGAGACTCTGGAGTTAGCAATAGGCCTAGGTAATAATTTTCTAGTCATTGTAATAAAAGAGTCTTTACATACTTCAAATCTAGAAATACTCTGAGTGTGGACAGGCCTGAGGCTGAAGGTGTTGACAAATACTATAGCAACTAGACCTCTTTGTTTACAAATTGTTTACAAATAACAGCCCCATAGACACCAGTCAGCTATAGAAAGGTGACCTTTACAGACTAGTGTTAAAATACCTGATTTCACATGTTCTTCTTTGACACTGCTAGAACGCAGCTGTCTCACTATGTCTCACACGAGTGTAGCCAACATTTGTCACATGGTATCTGCTCACATAGGCTGGCATGGGCCACTGTTATCTGTGGTGTTTAGCTGAGGCAGAATGATTATTGCCGAATAATTTTCTGTCCTGGTCGGTTGTCACTCTCCTCCACACTTTTATCCGGGTTTTTGTGCACTTGTTTTTCTATGGGTGTCTCCAATTGCTGTTTGATCAGTTCCAAGTCTTAGATAAATGAGTTAAAAAGTAAAGCCTGAGATTTGTCACTGTGCCATTATCTGGCTCTTCAAATTCCCAGCTACTCACCGTCTTTTGGAATAGTCTTATTTTTGTTTTAGCTGTAACACCCACAGGGTTTTGACAGGAAGAATAGATCCCCATTCAAAAAATTTTAAATGAAGAGCACATGATTTAACGCATCATTTGGAGACTGGGAGCACATCGCCCCTCTGTTTATTCTTTGAAGTTGTGTTTTCAAGGAGCCATGAACACGCTCCACAATGCCTTGTCCTTGAGGATGATAAGGAATGCCTGTTTTGTGGTCAATTTTCCATTGAGCACAAAATTGCCAGAATTCTTTACTAGTATATCCAGATCCATTGTCTGTTTTTATCACTTTTGGAACTCCCATGTAAGCCAAACATTTTAAAAAGTGACTTATCATATGCTTAGTGGCTTCTCCAGTTTGTGCAGTGGCCATTAAGAAGCCTGAATACGTATCAACGTACACATATTTTAACTTGCCAAATTCTGCAATGTGAGTAATATCCATTTGCTGTAAATGATTAGGAAGCAGGGCTCATGGGTTTACTCCTAAATTAGTTACAGGTAAATATTGTGGGCACACGTCACACTGTTTGACAATTTGATGAGCAGTCTCTCTAGTTAAACCAAATCGCTTTCTTAGACTTGTTATTCTTAGGATGAAAGTTATGCAACTGCTGAGCTCATTCTACCTGAGATAAAGCGACCAATTTTGTTAATCTATCTGCTGACTCGTTCCCTTCAGCCAGTGGGCCAGGAAGGTTTGAAGAAGCTCTTATGTAACCCACAAAGCACAGCAATTTTTTAGATGAACTGCATTCTGAATTTGCTTAAACAATATTCTAACCTGATCATTACTAGGTTCCAATGCACGGAACTGTCTCTATCACTTGAAGAGCCTTAAAAACATAATGACTATCAGTATACAAAGTAAATGAATCATTTACTAAAAGCTGAAAGGCCATTGCAACAGCTTGTAACTCAACTATTTGAGCTGAAGCTGGAGCTGTTTGTCCTATATATTCTTTGCCATCAATACCATAAGCGGCTCTTCCATTAGAGGAACCATCAGTAAAAACTAATATAGTATTTTTAACAGGATTACTCCTATAAAAGGATGCATTAGTGCAAATTGTAACAGTCTATGAGCTGGAAACTGATTATCAGTTTTTCCTGAAAATTGAGCAAAAGCTATTGCCCACAAATCACTGTTTTGCAATAGCCAATCAACTTGCTGTTTGGTATAAGGAACATGTATTACACTTGGTTCTCTGCCAAAATATCTCCTAGATTCCATAGGGCACTTCTGCACCATACAAGCTACTGCTTCAAAATAAAGATTTAACACTGGCTGGGGAGATAGGTAGGTGCAACCGTAGTAATGGTCCCTCCTGCTAGAAGACACAAGTCAGACTATGCTGCACGGGAAGCACATAAGCTGCCCATGTTTTGCATAGTCAATATAGCATATTTGCTGATGCTGGATTGCATTCTCCAACTGTAGAAGAACTTGTCTAACCTCTTCAGTTAACTGTCTAGGTGAATTGAGATCACTAGCTCCTTTTAGAATATCA